AGACAATTTAGGACTAGAGTGTGCTGGGAATATTTTATGGACAAGTGTGTAGATGCCAACGAACACATGGTCAAGGAGTTTTACTGCAATGTAGCCCACATCAAAAAGGGCTGCAAAGTGACCAAGGTTCGCAATAAGGCAGTGTTGTTTGATTGGAAATACCTCAACGAATACTTGGGCTTCAATGAGGAGGATGAAACTTTGTACATGGCAAAGTTGGAGATGGGCGAGGAGGTCCGTCCATGGCTAGCTCAGTACCCGGCAATCCCAGGTACCATTCCAGATTGGTTGACTCCTGGGGTCAAAATATTGCGGAGGACCTTAAACTTTGAGGCGAGGGTTTGGGAGACGTTTGTTTGCAGCTGGTTGGATCCTACTACACATGACCAAACCCTTCTTCTCCACCGGGCTGTATTGGTTGCTTCGATTATGGCATGATACCCCATAAATGTGGGGAACGTGATGTCCCGCATTATCTCGATAGTGGGAGCAGAGCATGACCGAAACTACCCTTTCCCTAGCACCCTCACTATGTACTTTCGGGATTTGGAGGTGGACAAGAGCCTGGGTTCAGAGAGTCGAAATTTCAAGTTCAAGAGCCTAGTGCGGCCGCACACCATTTTGTGCGGTCCGCACTGACCCCCCAGGGGCAATTTTGTCCAGTTTTTCCAGCTTAGTATAAATAGATTCTTTTTTCATTTTTAGGGCATCTGACGTTGTAATACAGTAGCTGCGCTCGTGAGAAGACTTTTCTTAGCCATTTTGGGCACTTTTAGTTTTAATCGCTGAATCTTTGTATTTACATTAGTAATTAATTAATATGTCTTTCTCTTCATCTATTTCTCTGATTTTCTCTTCAAGCATGAGTAGCTAGACCCATTAGCTAGGGTTGTCGCTCAACCCTAGTGTGGGTAATTGATGGGTGTTTTGATCTAAGGTTAGATTGACTATGGGTGTTTGTTATTTGGGTCAATTTTATGATTTAATTTATGAATTAGTGGTTGCAAACACTAGTTTGTGCTAAGTTGACTTGGGCTCTTCCTGAGAAAGAGAACCTAAGTCTCCAAAATTGACTCAACAAGGAATTGGGATGGACTCAAGAGATTTGATAGTCCCAATTAAAGGGTTAAACCTCGAGAGAGTAATACCCGACTTGAACCCTAGTTGCTTGGACAAATATGCATACCCAATTGGTCTTGAGAAAGTCAATTGGGCAAAATCACTCTTTCTACCGAGAGGTGTAGAGTGGGTAGTATCGAGCAACGGTTATAACATATTCCCCAATCATGTCAATCGTGCCTTGGATGCAAGTACCCGTCAATTGGCCACCTAGGTGAAAGTCACTACCCTAGTGCCTTTTAGACCATTAGATACAACTTGTAGCAATTTACTCTTAGCTTAATCTAGTTGCATTTTCAATTAGTAGTTTGATAAAAATAGAATCATAAAGAAAATCAAAAAATGAATAGAACACCAATTAAGAGCACATACGCAATCCTAAACTAGATAGATACTCGATTCCAATCCTAGCTCTCTGTGGATTCGATCCCGACCCAAAATCGGGTAAAAGCTATTGCGACCCTTTCTTGCTACTTATTAGTAGTGCGGAGTTGGCAGTGATCACATACATGCCTCAAATGAATGGAGCCGTGGAGGCCGCGAACAAGAATATTAAGAAAATATTGAGAAAGATGGTAGACATCCACAAGCAATGGCACGAGAAATTACCATTTGCCTTATTGGGGTATCGTACCACAGTTCGCACATCAACCGGAGCAACTCCCTACATGTTGGTCTACGGTACTGAAGCTGTCATTTTCGCCGAAGTCGAAATTCCTTCTTTGAGGATTATACAAGAAGCAGAACTCAGTGATGTAGAATGGATACAAAGTCGCTATGAACAATTAGCTCTTATTGACGGGAAAAGAATAATGTGGTATGCCATGGTCAACTTTATTAGAACAGAATGTCAGAGCTTTCAAAAAAAGGGTCAGACCCCGACAGTTCACACCGGGGCAACTGGTGCTGAAGTGGATCTTCCCACATCAAGATGAAGCCAAAGGAAAATTTTCACCCAATTGGCAAGGGCTCTACATGGTTCACAGAGTACTAACAGGAGGAGCACTTATAATTGCAGAAATGGACGGAGTAATTTGGCCAAAACCTGTCAACTCAAACGCAGTCAAAAGATACTATGTTTAGGATTGTTTACATTTCTTCATTCGATGTAACTGAACTATGCTTGACCTGATTCTCGTTTAAGAGGGGATACGTAGGCAGCCCTATGGGTTCGGTCACAATTCAATAAAATCTTTATTTTCCCCATGGTCAGAAACTGGGGCAGAATTTTGAGGAGGACCCTCAAAATTCCGGAGCAAGTCCAGCCAATTTCATCATATGTGGAACGACTGAAGAATCGCTTATTAAATTGGGGCAGAATTTTGAGGGGACTCTCAAAATTCTAATGCAAAGAAGTCGCAATATCTCTAAAGTGTCACAGTCATTGGTTCATCTAATTTACTTGATATTGCATACTACTATGTCTTCAAATAACTATATTCATCAAATGCACGCATATTTTTTGAAAACTTTATTTCTATGACAGCCAGACGTTACCCAGAATAACTCAAAAGAATCTCAAGATAGGAGCCTAGGGAAGCAGAAGACGAAGGCGCGAACCAACCTTCCCCGCAAAACTTACGATTTTTATTTGGATGCAGGAATAAGGAATATTTGCAAACAGGTACACACATCAAAATCACTATCTTCATAATGACAAAGCTGCCAAACGCAAACATATCTCCATCTAAGAAATACTCTACTATCACTCATTATATTTTCTTTGCGTGAGACGAAGCATTGACTCCCATTTTTCATGAGGCTAAGCCATGCCTCCCCAATTGCATACGGCTAAGCACTGCCTTCCATTGCATGAGACTAAGGCCTCATTTGTTTTTATTAAGATTAAGACGTGTGAATCTGAATACACGTCTGAATAGGAAAATGTGTATTAAGATTCAGACGTCTGAATCTGAATACACAACTGAATGATTAATATGCTGTCTCTAGGTCTGAATACTGAATGATTAAGACTGTTTGTTTTTAGTATCTGAATTTGTACAATTTATCTATATTTAAATATACCATATATAAAATTCAAATAAAATAGTTAATTAAATATTTTTCAAGTTCTAATGTTCAAACATTAAAAGCATATTTCTAATAACGAAAATACAAAACTATCAAGTATTTCCTCTTCCTTGCATTAGCTGAAGTGCAAGTTCTTCACGCATATTGTTCATAAACTGCGAATCTTCAGCTGTCCAGCTAGGTCCACTTGTTTCATCCAATTCTTGTTCTCCTTCTCCTTCTTCCTCAAATATTACTTGAGGTAAATCATATTGATTAAACAAGTCATCATTTAGACGCTCTTTCCTGATAAAATTATGAACTGCAAAACATGCAATAACAACATCTCTTTGGACATCAATAGGATATGGAGCCATCTTGTCCAATATTGGAAACCTTGCTTTTAAAACTCTATAAGCACGTTTAATAACATTTCTGAGTTGGGCATGAGCATGGTTAAACTTTTCCTCTTTATTTATGGCCCGTCTACGATGATAATCTCCTATCCAATATCGAATATTACGACATGGCGCCAAAAACCCTCGAGTGTTGGGATATGCCGCATCACATAAATAATATTTGTCTGTCATCAAAATAAGAGGTTAAATGGACATAATAAACATCTAACTTATTATTTCACAACAACTTAATAAGTTGTGTCACTTACTAGGAGGAGGAAATGGAAAGCCATTATTTGGATTAGATACGATCTCTGTTAGAACACGTGCATCATGTGCTACCCCTTCCCATCCAGCATAAACATAAGTGAAGACCATGTTAAAATCACATATAGCTAAAACATTCTGATAACATTTACCCTTTCCTCTTCCTCTGTAAACAATTTGTTGATTAGCTGGAATAACTGCATGTACTAATGTCCCATCGAGTGCACCTATTGCTCCCTGCAAATAAATCAATAATTATTTTTACGTTAAAAGTTATGAAATTTTTTTAACGAAAATATATAATAATTTTGAAATACATAATACCTTAAAAATTTTTCGTAGCTTTTTATGAGAACTAGGAATATGCGAGTTTGAATCGGATGTTGTCGATGATATCTCCTCTTTGGCAAATTTCATCATTGCTTCAAGAACCTCGAATATTTGTGAACCGTTTGCAAAGAATGTTGAAATCTTCTCTTGATAACCACAAAACGCTCATTATGACCTATAATAGTCAAAAATATTGCAATCTTTTCTTCGACAGAAATATGTTTGCTATCTACGAGCCATCCTTTATGTCTAAAATGCTGACATAGCCGAACATACGCATCACGGGACATGCGCATCAATTCTAAGCATTGTCGACTAGAGCCGGACAATAATTCTGATGTGTACTTTTCACCAGATAAAAACGATGTTAAATCTTTATTTCTTTGGACATTCTTGAGTCTAAAATGATTTCTACACCAATACAAGCACATCAACCATAATATTTTTTCTCCAGTGTCCATGTCTAAACTGTTTTAACAAAGAGAATATATAATACACGATAGTAAGCATAACATTGTATGTAAACAAAAAAGTTACATAAACACAATAAATTAATCAGTAAAACAATACCATAGACATCAAACATACGTCAAACAAGACATTTAAAAAGGGATATCATAGAAAAAAAATGTTCCATAAGCATAATATAATATTAAAAAAATTAAACAAGCATAATAGATACTAGTTGAATAAAACAACGAAGGTTCCATATTATTAAAAAATTAAATAAGCATAGATACTAGTTGGAAAAAGCAAGGAAGGTTCCATATTATTAACGTCTACGGAATAATATAGCTAATTAGCAAAATTAAAGAATTCCCAATTTTTTTTCCATGGCCTTAATCCAACTCTTTAACTTGTCGTCCTCTGAAATTTTCAAGCTTTCCTGTAGCTGTCACCTTCACAAAGTATACTAATAGTTGCACTATATAATAGTTCTTCCCATCCAAATGCTTCTAATTTTTCCATACATTCCTCAATGTCAGGTCCGTTATTATTTTTAATCAATATATCTAATGCAGTACTCATCTTCTCATCAATTTCCAATTGAGATGATGAAGATTTCTTTTTCTTTCGCAAAGGTTTCCTTTCACTTGGAACTGAAGACTGGGATGGATAATTAGTAGGAGCTCCATCATTTTTGTTACCAACTAGATCTTCGATGCTATCAATTGTATCTATATCTATTGTAGTAGATACAGAAGAGACAACAGGATGAGGATATGTACAGCTTGGACTCCAACCATGAATTCCTGTTGCTGTTGAACCCTCAAAAAGTTTAGTACAAAGATCAGGGAAGGGTAGAGGTGAAGTCTTCAATGCCTTTGCTTTTGGATGAGCCTATAATAAAGAAATTTTTAATATGCATGTCAAATCCTTTTCTTTACGGAAAAAAGAAAATAAGAGGCTAAATTACTAGATAATGAACTAACCTTTATGTATTCATCCCACTCACTATTAGACATTAGAATGGTATTGGTTACTGGGTCATAAATATTGCCAGTCTTTTTAGTTATTGGCAACCAAGCTTGATACTTTTCTTTTAGATAGTCATAATGATTCTTCATCTGCTTTTTTGTGACGCTAAAGCCATGAGTAGTCTCCAAAACTAGTCTAACCTTGTTCCATGAATCTGCCTTCAAACTACTTCCAAGTCTCCCGTTTAAGGATATCTCTTGAATACAACTTTCTAAAAATGTTTTTACTACGTCCATATTTTTCCAACTCGCTCTTGAATTTTCACTAGATTGTTCCATAGCTGATATATAAAATAATAATGATTATAGGAGGACAAAATGTTAGCCTCTGCAATTTTCAGTAACATACATAATGTGTCATCTACAAGATGTAGTCAAAAGAGCTTACAATGCTACCTATATAGGATAACCAGCTCAAGAAGGTAACAGAAATTAAGAATAAAGAAAGTACACCATGAACAAAAGAGCAAAGACATGGGGAGCTTGCAGAGGATATTATTATAATACACATTACGGTAATGGTTGGTGACCAGCAAACCACACAACAATAGGGCACACCAAGATTTGGTGCCAAAGAACCACCAGTAGAATTTGGAATTTGTACAATTGCCAAAAATAAGCAGAATAACACTATTCCTCTGATTCGGTTGGAGCTCTCAATCCAAAATTAAACAAAGTTCATTTGTTTGAGAGCATGATCAAAACTATGACTAGGAAGAGAATATGACTGATGAAAATAGAAGTAGCCGAGACAATCAATACAAAAAATCAAAAACAGAAAAAGAGATTTATATTTAGTAGAAAAAAATCTGTAGAAGCAGACACAACTTTAATACAACATGTCACAACTTATTAGATACTAGTGAAATCTCACAAATCCGAACTATACTTTTGTTATTTCATTAACTGCATAATTCTTCATCTTTACTCAAACAACTTAATGCAAGATCCAAATAAAGGAGAGCAACAGTATACCACAAAGGCTTTACTAAAAGGTATTTTTATTCGTTTAATACTTATTACTCCAAGCATCTGTGACTTTGAGACCATGCAGAACATCAATATGAATTAAATGCTCCCACTATATGTGCCTAGCCTATTCATCACTAAGAATCAACCATTCTCTTATCTGTTTCTAGTTTCTCTTCAGTAGAAAATAATGGTTGAGAGCAGATAAAAGATGGAGCAGTACAGACTAGTAGTGTACTCCTACTTGTGTAGAAGTACAACATGCCTTTTCCAGAGTCTCGATATGAGGAAAAAACAGCTTCTATTTTGCAGTACACTCAACACGAATATGTTACTTGTAATTTAAAATGGAAAGCTACTGCAACTTTTGAAGAGTTTTGCAATAACTTTTTTCTTAATTTTTCACTGTAGAATTAACTATTAGAGAATAGAATTGAAATCTTGAAACTCCCAAGTATATTTTCACAAAATAATAGGCAAGAATATTGGAAATTTCAAAATATAATAACAAAACACTTTCTACAGGTTTTTGAATCTTACCTGTTCAAGAGAAAACAAGCTTGAGTAGATGATGATAGATGGAGAGTGGAGAGAGGCGTGATACTTATATGCAGAGAAGATGAAGAAAGCGTGAAACTTTGCTAAAATAAAGCCTTATCGTTGAGCGAATCTCTGCGGAAATAACATCGTATCGTTTTTTCAAAGAGTCTGAATGCTAGAAGGACTCTGTTATGGATCTGACCGAATAAGATCCTTTCAGACCTATTAAGAGCTTTTAAGAGAGAAAAAACAAACAGACTTAATGGGCTGGATCTGAATAATTAGGGTTAAGATTTAAAAAACAAATGCACTTAATGGGCTAGATCTAGATGATTCAGATTCAAACCTCCATTAAGTGCAAACAAATGAGGCCTAAGCCCTGTCTCCTTTTCCTTGCATGAGACTAAGCCCAGTCTCCTATTTTGCATGAGGCTAAGAATTGCCTCCCTAATTGCATGAGACTAAGCACCGTCTCCTATTTTTGCATGAGGCTAAGCCCTGCCTTCTCAACTGCATAAGGCTAAGCATTTCCTCCCTAATTGCATGAGACTAAGCACCGTCTCCTATTTTTGCATGAGGCTAAGCCCTGCCTTCTCAACTGCATAAGGCTAAGCATTTCCTCCCTAATTGCATGAGACTAAGCACCGTCTCCTATTTTTGCATGAGGCTAAGTCCTGCCTCCTCAATTGCATAAGGCTAAGCATTGCCTTTCCTTACATCGAGACTAAGCATTGTCTCCCATTTTGCATGAGGCTAAGCCCTGCCTCCTCAATTGCATAAGGCTGAGCACTGCCTTTCCTTGCATCGAGACTAAGCATTGTCTCCCATTTTGCGTGAGGCTAAGCCCTACCTCCCCAATTGCATTAGGCTAAGCACTACCATTCCTTGCATCGAGACTAAGCATTGTCTCCCATTTTGCATGAGGCTAAGCCCTGCCTCCCCAATTGCATTAGGCTAAGCACTGCCTTTCCTTGCATCGAGACTAGGCACTGTCTCCCATTTTGCATGAGGCTAAGCCATGCCTCCTCAATTGCGTAAGGCTAAGAACAACCTTCCATTACATGAGACTAAGCACTGTCTCCCTTTCTTGCATGAGACGAAGCCCTGTCTCCTTTAATTGCATGAGACCAAGGACTGTCTCCTATATTGCATGAGGCTAAGCCCTGCCTCCTCAACTGCATAAGGCTAAGAATTGCCTTTCCCTGCATGAGACTAAGCCCTATCTCCTAATTGCATCGAGACTAAGCATTGTCTCCCATTCTACATGAGGCCAAGCCCTGCCTCCTCAATTGCATAAGACTAAGCATTGCCTTTCCCTACATGAGACTAAGCATTGTCTCCCTTTCTTGCACGAGGCTAAGCCCTGCCTCCTTAACTACATAAGGCTAAGCTCTGCCTTTCCTTGCATAATACCAAATGCTATGCTACTTGAAATCTAGCACTATCCTTACTTTCCCGGGGCTAAACTCTGCCCCAATCTCATGCAAGACTAAGGTCCGTCTTGTTTCGCTTCTCATATAGCCCAACATCATGTCTTTGCATCTTATGTGCTAAAACATCGCCATCTTGTCCGAAGGCGTCATAGTCCGAAGGCATCATCTTCATAGCCTGAAAACACCATGTCATGGCCTGAGGATCTCTCAATATTGGACATCATTATTCAAAGGCGTCATAGTTCAGAGGACCATTCTCATGGCCCGAGAACATAATTTCATGGCCTGCGAATCCCTTATCACATGATTCATGGCCCGGGACATCATGGTCTAAGGACATCATCTCACCGTTCAAAGACAATTTTCATGGTCCAAAGGGAATTTTCATCATGTTTAAATTCCCGCAATAACCCATGTATGTATATTTGCATGCATCGTGTTTTAAGTTTGCAGGTAACCCAAGAAGTAACCTTTCTTCAAACGGGAGCAATCTTCGCTCCGGTTTCCGTTCATAACGTTCACATCCTGCAATTATTTCAAAACGTAACTGATCATCATCAATTCCGCTTCTTACTCTATGACCATTCAAGTATTTGCTCATTGATATAGCCATGACATTTCAAATTCATATTCATGACTTCGCATAAATTCATCCGATTCTCTCCTACTCAAAAGAACCATTTCCGAGACACATGGCCATTCCTATAAAAACTCCATCTGTTTCATTCACCGTTGGGTCCATAATTACACACGGCCTGATTCCCGTAACACCAGGGATATGTAGGCAACTCAGGAACCAGGGTTCGGACCCCATTTTTAATCACATCATTCCTCGTTCTATTCGGCCAAAATTGGTCATCATTTTTCTTTACCCGACAATTCTTCCATCATTCCCGGGTAAAGAGGGGCAACTGTTGATACCCAATTTCCCCCTCACATTTTTAAATTGTATATATATACTATCAAAATAGTATATTTGCATCATCATTTAGTTTATAAACCTATACACGCATTTTACACAATTTTCCATAATTTTAAATCAATTTCTTTCTGCATTTTATCGTATAAATATCCAATAATTATCCTTCAAATTATGTTTATGGTGATTTAATCATCCAAACTCATCATTTGCACCAACATGTATGTTTTTAAATATTTTACTGCATTTTTTATAATTACATTTGCATATTTAGGGCTAATTGCAAATTTTTACAATAATAGCCTATATTCATGTAAAATTACATTATTTATGCCAAAATAACCTTTTATATTTTTACAAGGTCAAGTTATTATTTTCAATCATTTTAGTGCACAAATAATATTTTTGTTATTTACTAATTACTTTTATAAATTATTTATTGATAAAATATTGGGTATTTAAATAATAGCCTAATTTTAAACCTATTTTCGGACTTAATTACCCAAACTTCAGCCCAATTACCTCATAGACTGGCCCAATAACCCCTATCCAAAACCATACTCAACCCGGTTGGTACCCATTTCATTTTAACCCGCCCCGTTCATTTTTAATCCTAGCGGTTGATCTTTCAAGATCAACGGCCCATATCCTTTCCCCTATTTTTAATTAACCAAACCCCCCACCCCAAAAAAAAACCCCTAACCACTCCCTCCAACCCGCCGTCCTCATATGCTCTAATCTCTCTTCTCTTCTGAAGAACCCTAGCCGCCACCCCCCAAATCCGCTCTCCTAATCCCGTTGATAATGGGATTTTACCATTATTTGCTTACCTTATTGGTCTTCTCTCACTACTGG